CCTAGACCACGGCCTTGCCCAACACAAGTTATAAATTCGGGCACCGCCAGGAATCGAACCCGAGACCCCAGGATTACAAGGCCAGCGTTCTAACCGCTAGACCACCGTGGCATTGTATTTACTTTACACAACCATAATTATAAAATTTCAAAACATTAATGTTAACATGGGATATACTAAATCTATTCCATATGTCAGGGTATAATATCCATATTGCAGATTGATACTGGAAAAATACTCGTACAAACCCTGATTACAACTTGACTGGAACCTTGTGCTAATTCATCATCTTCTCGTCCACTGTCTCCTGAGCTATCAGATCCAGCCTCACACATCCTGTCCTGCGGAAAGCTGCCTGCCACCCGACTAAGCTCCACCTAGGAAAGATATGCACATTGTGGTAGTTTTTCTTGTGCACATGTCTTCAAAAATATCTATTACCTGATTACCAGTTACTGGTATTATTTACTTGGAAAAAACAAATTATTGTGAGACAATGACCGCCAAAATGCGATGAAACAAGGACAAAAAATATATTTAAATGCATTACCTGATTAACAACATAAATAATATTTTTCTGTAGAAGTATTTTGTCAATAAATCTGATTCTTTATTACATATCATTTTCAAGAAAAGCAGTGCACATTTTATTCAGGGATGCACTGTGCTTTGATAAATAAAATAATATAACAAAGAATGCATTTGGAAAATATGTATACGTCTACAAAGAGTTTTTCTTTCATCTGTTCGTGTTATAAAAATATTTTAAGTGATCTGAAAAAATACACCCTACTCTTCTTGTTGGAAATTCATGAAAGTAAAATTAAGGTCGTCAGCAAACTGTAACAGAAGCTCACCTGTAACCTTCCCGCTACCTCCCCCTGCTGGCTGATGATGGGTGTATGATAATCAAGCCGCACATCATGGAACAAAACTTCAAGGAATATGTTGGCAACACCAATGAGATTATGGTTCTCCTGAGACTCATAGAAGGGATCTACACTCTTCTGAGGGGCTTCATCCTATAAGAAAATAACAAACGTTTGTACCAGCCTGTGGACTAATAACATTAACCGAATGCTGAAACATTTAAAATCAATTAATTCTGATACTCTCTGACCAGATAATTTGAATGCCCTTTCACTATGTTAAGCTTGTCAGCAGACCCTTATAATTTTACTATGCTCTACTCCTACATGCACTGGAATATTAGACAGGGAGATATAAAATTACTAAAAATCGAAGAGAAACATTTTGTTTTACTCTAAGAAGTAAATTAATGTGAATGGTCCTGAATTCAGAGGACAAAAATGTTTATTCAGGCTCTTTTAATTAAAGTGTTTGATTTAATATAATTAATTTTGTGAGACTTCCGTTTCTCACAGTAGCAGAAAACCAGACTACATGGAACAACCACACAGAAGACGGGCATCTGCATAATTAATTTTTGTGGATTTCATATTTGTTCTGTACCAATGAACTGAGAGGATCTATTTTTCCTTAATATCAATTACAGAATACAGTTAGTTGGTGATTTACCATGTTAAAATCACACGGATGATTTTCAGTAATATCATCTCATATGGTAAAAAAGTAAAAGTAAAGTTTGTCCCACTATACACCATGTAGGCGCTTGGGAGGAGAGGAAGTATAGCTCCTCTCTTCCTTGACCTCGGCACTAGATGGGGGTGAGTGGTCAGCATCACGCCCCGGCCGGCTTTACCCCCGGGAAAGGACCCCGGTACCCATTGTAGAGGAGGCTCGGTGGGCCCCAGAGCCGGTCTGGACGCAGAGGCTAGAGGAAAAATCCTCTGCCCCCGTCGGGGATCGAACCCCGGTCGTCCAGCCCATAGCCAGTCACTATACTGACTGAGCTATCCCGGCTCCATCTCATATGGTAATTTATAGTATTAATAATATTTTTATATAATTAATGGCTTTTCATAATATGAAACACTATAATTCAGAAAGTAAGGTTCCCACTGGAACATGCAACATAAAACTCTCACCGTGAGCGGAACATTCTTCTCTTCCTTCTCTTCGTAGAGGTCACGCATGTCTATTAACTTGTTCTCCAGCTTTTCCATTGACCACACCTGACTTGCCAGACCCTTCCGTTTCACTAATATTGCAGGTTCACTCACAAATGCTCCACGCTAAAATACAAGAATAATCATAGGAGAACTGAGGGTTTCATAGCGACAAAGATGTCTGCCTTACCTGTCAAAAGCCATCAGTCAATTTCTACTGCACTACATCCCAGATGACAATCATCTTAAAGGCTCCAGACACTTTTCATCTCAGCAGCAGATAAGGATGAGTGTTCAGTTTCAAGGAGCAGCAGCTTAATGAGACTTGAGAGGACTCTAAAGCCAATATAGACATTAACGTTATGTATTCAGTTCACAAAATATTATACGCTCACCTTGCGATTGGGACTGAGGTTAGCAGGAGGTATTTGCAGCGTTACACTGAAAGTTGTTTGTCTTCCCATTTCTTCAGCCAAGAAGTTTGCTTCTTGAACTAAAGCATTCGCTCGAAGAATGTCAGCTTTCAACTGACCCAAACTCCTTTTGAACATCTCATCTCTGAAAATCAAGTATATTTTCTGCTATAGTAAGGATTAGAAATATTACATTTCATAAAATGTGTCTGTGACTGATAATTCAAAAATATCAAAAAGCTTTTACAAGCACTGTGGACTTTGCAATTGATTTAAGCTTTCTTACTTTCGATAAATGAACAAAGAAATAACTTCTTTATCATTGGTATAAATGGTATGATATTGGATTTTTCCTATTAGGTAACATAAACATTGTTAAAAGTTTTATTTTATCTTTTAACGAAGTTAACAAAATTTTCACTTTTAACAGCAATGTGCTCACCTCTCCTGAGCCCATTTCTCCACTCTCATCTGTGTGGTGGGTGTGCAGGGCGTAATCTTTCCCAGCCGAAATGGATCAAATGGCACATAGGGCGAGTAAGGTGTAGATGGCGAGAGAATATTACGCAACTGCTGGAACTGTCGCTCATATTCTTGACGTTGTTTCTCCAATGCAACTAGTCACCACAATGAAATTCCACATACATTTGTACAATGCACTGATAAAATTAACGCTTATCACTTTCTATGCTAGAGCATCAAATGTTTATCAACCTTGGTTGATAACTGTTATGTTCCTGGCACAGCAGTGAATCTCCACCATTTCAAATTAGCTAACAACTCTTAATCATCTACACAGCATCATACCTCGGATTACCATACTTCTAACAAGAGCCCAGTTTAGAACATACCTTGCTTGTCTTCCTCGTGTTGTTTTTCAAGTCGAGCGATGGCAGTCTGTATTGGGTCATTGCTAAGTTCATTCAGCATCAGTTCCTCACGGGCAAAGTTGTAGTCAATTGTCTGTGCAGGGGTCTGTGGTTCAGAAGCCATCGTTGCTAAAAAAAAAAAAAAAGTGTAATATTAATGACCATTATTACAAACTTTATAATTATGACCATTGTATGCTGTGCCATGCTCAAGCAGTTAGATATGCTGGCTTTGCACCATGGAAGCTTAGGTTCAATCCTGAGTGACTTCAAATGAGATGAGTGGCAGATTACGTGACATTGGAGTAGGTTCTTCTCAAGAGTTCTTCGGTTATTCCGTTCTAATAATCGCTTCGTTGTTCCACCACACTCATACAACGTTGCCCAACATTCTACAAAATCTAAATAGTTCAAAATCTGTTGCAATAACACTGCCATCTTTTTCACCCATTTCATCATCTCATCAACAT